CTTTCCACCTCCCCCCAATAAAATACTTATTTATCTAATGTTTTACTATCATAAATGTTAAAAAATATACGCAATTTAGTACCTAAGTCGTACCTCGTTTTTAGGGATTTTTTAAGTCACTGATCATAGGTCTCCCTCTGTCTATTCGCTTCCCCTTATTCACTATGTGTCACTGAAGTACCATTATTTGTTTAACTTGATTGAACTTTTACATTTCAAATCTCTTTCTGATCCATGTCTTCTTTACCCAAATATAAGATTCTTGATTACTTGAGGACTTTATTAAGTAAAAGACAGAATTCAAAAGGAGGTATAATTAAATAGACAAACACAATTAAGCTTTTAAAACAGTAATTCATTCTGTTAGTTTAATGTTGTGACCGTTTATGTGTCATTTTAACCCATCTGTTCTTTTAAAACCCTTTCCACATTTTTCACATATTTGTTTTTCATAGTTTTTATGAATTAACATACGTCTGTTTTAATGTGACGATCTTCAAAGTTACATATTTTTGAATTACTGAAAAATTTCTAGCTTAACAATATTTTTAATTTCTGATTTATTCTCGGATATAATTTGAATAAAAATTCTTTTTGGATTCTTACATCTCAATAAAGCAACGTATAATTGTCTATAAGAGAATAAAGGTTTTTTAATATACAATGCTAAAGAATCAAAACTCTGTTTTTCTGATTTTTTGATAAATACAGAAAATGCTAATACAAAGGAAAACTGTTTTCTGTAGAAGACAAAAGGTAATGATAATAAGGTGCCAGTATTTAATGTTATTCTAGGAATGTAAACTTTGCTTTTTTTCTTTTATAATTATTTCTGCTTCTATAGTATGGTTAAATGATTTTGTTATTTTTAATCTTGTGCCTCTACAGAGACCGTCTGATATACTTAAAGTTCTTATTAACACTATTATAGCATTTATTTTTAATTTTAATTCGTGTAATGGAAGACCCTCTCTAGTATTATTTTAAAATACTATTGAAAAATTAATATTTATGTTACTTCAATTATGTTAAGTTGATCATATGTTTTATCAACTCCTTTGTGAGTCACGTATTTTGCTGTTGTGAACTAATTTTAAGCCTGCATTGATAAATACACGAGTAATGTCGTTAATTTGTCTACTCAATCTGTTAGTGGGGGGTTGGCGCGCGGAGCGCGCAGGGGGGCGTTAGCCCCACNCGGAAAAATAGAAATTAAAAGCTTATTCTTATATTTAGTTTGAAAAGGCTCTCTATTATACTAACCTAACAAATTATTTAGAGTTAGGAATTGTGTGAACTAAAAAATTTTTTTAACTACAAATTCATCTATTAATAAAAACCGAGTCTGAGTCTATTTCTGATAGCAAAAGCTTCGATTGAAAGTTAAGGGGGATGTCGTAATATTTCATTTTCTAAAGAAATTTCTGAAAAAGTGTGTACAGGTATATTTTAGTATCATAAATAACATATTAAAACTTTAAAGAGCTTAGCCCTACCGTTTTCGAGAAATAAAATCGCGAAATTGGCCACTTACATACATACTCTTATGAAGGACTTGTCGGAAAATGCACGTTTTCACTTATAACTCTTGTAATTTTTTTAAGAATCTTTTAAAAAACCAATATGTTAAGGTTTATAATAGTAAAAATAAGTATACAAAATTTGGGTAAGCCTAGTTTCACCATTTTTAAAACATAACTGTTTCAAGTCCAATTACAACGTTACTAGAATACCTATGTAGTGGTACAGTCTGTTACAAAAGTTAAATTTATTTGTTGTTTTAACGTTTGTGTTTGCTTTTCTGCGCATTTTTCTGTTCTACATACATTTAATTTTTAAATTATTTACCTGTTTTGTTAAAAATAATCATAACAAAGACATTTTTAATACGATAATTCAATTTTGAAGCTGACTGTTTCACGACAACCCCCTTAAAATAGTATCAATATATACATTTGTAGTCCAAAATCTTTAGAAAATCTAGTTTTCTGAAAAAATCGACCGATTATTTACCCTAGTTTCTCATTTTTTTCTTGAAATCGTGAAGTATGTAAACTATAGTTTTCCGCCTTCTAACCTCAAAATAGCACCTCCGCCGCTTGATTTTGAGTTCTCAGGCGGAAAAATATTATACGAAACTCGTTTGAAAAGGCTTCTTTACGAATCTTGTTACGGCCCTCGCCTTCGGCTCGTGCCGTAAACCTCTCGGTTCGTTAATCGAAGCCTTTACAAACTCGTACGTAGTGTACTATTCCTGTATTTAAGTGCTCACTTCCTTCTAATAAATTTATTTTTTAATAACTAGGTATCATTCTCAAAAGTTAATATGTAGAACTATAAAAAAAGCATTTTAAAGATTTTAAAGTTAAGCTACTCAACGTAAGAGTTCTGCGAGCTTTATTATTTTAGCGAGCTTTTTAATTTTAGCGAAAAAAAATTACCTGCCTTGTGTTGCATGGCGAGAAGTGTCTTTTGATGGTCTATCTTATCAACTACAAGCAATCGAATAAATTCATGCAAATTATTGTGTGTTGCATAAAGTGCCAGGATTAAAAGTGCAATTTACAATTGTAAAATCTTAATTTTTTTTATGGTAATTAATCTACAAAAACACATACAGTGCCACTTTCAAAACAGAGGAAAAAAATTTTTGTTAACTGCATATGCTTTACGTGCTGTCAAAAGATTTTAGTAACTATTTCTGTAAAATTACAATAACAATTTACTGTAGGTAAAAAGGTTAATTGTTTATACACAATACAACCTTTTTTTTTAAATCCATACTCTAAGTTAAAAGTGGTTGAAAATATTATGTGCTGAATAAAAAAAGCTGTGTTCAGTTTCTGTAAGACACTTTAATCTAAAATACGCACTGTTTATAAAGACGAAAGAATCTGCCTCAATGTTTGTACATATGTGTAGTACGAATTTTGTCAATGTAATAACTACAAGGTATTAACAAGGAATGTAAATGTAAGCCAAAAAATATAATATATGTATGTAGATAAATATTCACGTATAATTGGATGTAAGTGGTACTTTACTGGTAATAATCATCTTACTAATATATAAAGCAGAAGCGCTAAAACCGTTGTAATCGCTAACCGCGAAAACTACTGAACCGATTTTGCTGAAATTTTGCATACCGATTCTTGACACTTCCTAGATGGTTTTAGTATGGTTTTTATCTTAAAAAATTTAACAACAATAGCAATAAACAAGCTCAAAGTTTTGCAAAAATACGCCTGCTTTTCACTTTAGTTCAGTAGGATCCGCTAGGTGGCGTCGAGGTAAAATTTAAGCCACCCGCAATCAATGATAGTGAAGATTGGTTATAAGTTGCCCCGCTGAGACGACGATTTTCGTAGTCGTTTTTCGGCAGTCCTGTAAGAACAAAGGAGTTTGTCGTGAAGCTGGGCATCCCGGCTACCGCTAACACTTTTCGTTCATGGACAAGCGAAATACATCGGCTGTTACCCCGAATCGCCAAAATAACCGAGTGCCACGGAAGAATAGGCGTTCAAAACATCAACGTCTCAGGCGAAATACCAGGAGACGTCCGGCCAGAGCTCAACCTGCTTCACCAACACTACAAGGTTTGGAAGCTCTTCTTCCATCCAACCTGGTCCTAGAAGAGCAAGCCAAGCAGAACAACCATGAGGAGCGTGAGCAGCAGATCGTGATCCGGGGAACGACCCGGAAACGAGATTTTGTTCGGCCATCTACATACCTTCCTCTAGCGCGTTCACCTTTTGCAAAGACTCCAAGGGCAAGGACGAAGCAACCTCGGGTCCAGATACCGGAGCTCCGCGATCCTCGTCGACTGAGCAGAGTTAAACGGCAAATATTTGCCGTTTGTCGAATGCCTGATAAAGCGTGTCAAATCATTGACCCTCACCAGCTCTCCATCGTTAGGAAAAAAAAAATGAAGATAAAAATCGGCCCTTTTCAGGGCCATCAATAAATTTTACCGTAAAGTAACTTTCAATCTCATCGGTCTTTTTAAGAGCCATTATACGTTGAACTACTTTTCTAAAAATAGATCTGCCCTTTGCTGGGAGACATCGAGAGCAGAGCTGTTTGTCGTGAGTCTGGGAACCCCGGCCACCAACGACTTTCTACACTCGAATTACATAGGCCAGAAATTACTTTTCCTCCAAGATTAGCGTTCAGCTAAGTTGGTAAATTTTATCAGCCCTTTTCAGGGCCATTAAACGTTGAACCACTTTGCCGAAAATAATCTTATTTGTACTTTTAGACAAATGTCTTTTAGCGAATTGCAACGATTCGTCCAACAGAGATCTATTTAAAGACAGCTGATTCCAAAACTAAGACAGTCATTTACTGGCAGACATCGAGAGCAGAGCTGTTTGTCGTGAGTCTGGGAACCCGGCCACCGACGGCTTTCTACACTCGAATTACATAGGCCAGAAATTACTTTTCCTCCAAGATTAGCGTTCAGCTAACTTGGTCAATCTCATTGGCCCTTTTCAGGGCCATTAAACGTTGAACACCTGCCAAAGTATATATTGTAATTGACAAAATGTAACAAACACATCACTTTTTATGGCGCGCAAAAATTTTTAACAATGCCTCGAATCGCAAGAGGACGAATCGGGAGGAGAACTTCTAATGCTTTAAATGTTTACAACTTTAGGAGTCGACAAACTGATGCAGAACATTCATCGAGAGTAGAACAGCAACGGCAAAATCGACGGTTGATCAACCATTTAAGTGACAGATCCGCTTTCTGTTACAATCCTGACATTGATTACTTAAATCTTCCATCAATTCAAATTGGCGGAATGGTTTCTATTTGCACTCATTGTGGCGCTAAAAAATAGAGAGATGAAGCTCCAGGGCTCTGTTGTTCTGGTGGTTAAGTTTCCCTTGATCCACTGGAAAATCCTCCTGAATTGGTAAGATGTCTGTTAATGGATGAACACTCCGTATCAAAACATTTCCTTGATAACGTCAGACGTTACAATACGCAATTCCAAATGACGTCATTTGGAGGAAAAGAAATTAGAGAAGGAAACTTTATGCCAACTTTCAAAATCCAAGGTCAAGTATACCACTCAATAGGTAGCTTACTTCCTGAACAGAACAAGAGTCCGCAGTGCTTACAAATCTATTTCATGTCTGAAGCTGAACAAATTTCTATTCGGTCAGATAATGCCCTAAAAAAAACTTTGATTGAATCATTACAAAAGGTGATGCATGATTGCAATCCTCTTATGAGAACTTTTAAATCCAATTATGACTCTCGAACAGTAGATGAACTTAAAAACTTAAAATTGATTATTCATGCTGATCGAACTCCTGTTGGGGAGCATCGAGGACGATACAATGCGCCTAGAGTGAATGAAGTTGCTGCATTAATAGTGAACGAGGAAAAAGGCCCTAGAGACATTATTTTACATGGTCGACATGGGCGGTTGGAGCGAGTTTTTGAGCTCCACCGATTCTATGACTCCTTGCAATATCCTCTTATGTTTGTTTTTGGAGAAAATGGATATTCTATTAATGTACCACTTTACGGTGTTCCAAACAAAACTGTTTCTTGCATGCAGTTCTACTCTTATAGGTTTATGTTAAAAAATGATCATATAAATTACCTACTTTATTATAAGAACTTACTCAATCAATTTGTTGTTGATATGATAGCAAAAATGATCACAGAACGTTTACTTTACTTGCGAACACATCAGAAACAACTGCGTGCTGAAAGTTACATTCATCTACGAGATGCAATAAATAATGATCGTAACATTGAACCCTCCAGTATCGGACAGCCTGTAATATTACCATCCTCATTCACTGGCTCACCGCGATATATGCATGAAAAAACTCAAGATGCAATGGCTTACGTAAGTGGGTTTGGGCGTCCATGTTTATTTATCACTTTCACGTGTAACCCTGAGTGGTCGGAAATAAAAAATGAATTACATAAAAATCAAAAACCTTCAGACAGGCATGAAATTGTTTCAAGGGTTTTTCACTTGAAATTAAGGAAACTTATAGATGTCCTCACTAAGAAAGCAATATACGGCGAAGTTGATGGTTGGATCTATAGTGTCGAATGGCAAATACGAGGGCTACCTCATGTGCACATACTTTTATGGCTTAAAACAAAAATTCAGCCGGCTGAAATAGACAAGATCATTTCAGCTGAATTACCAGATCCTCAACAAGATCCCTTGCTATTCAGTATAATTTCGAAAAGTATGATTCATGGACCTTGCGGCGAATGCAACATGGCTTCACCATGTATGGATAATGGAAAATGTACAAAAAAGTTTCCTCAAAAGTTTGTTAAAGAAACCCTAACTGCAGATGATAGCTACCCAACCTATCGTAGAAGAGCCCCTGCAGATGGAGGTCATAGTTCTGTACTTACAATTCGTGGCAAAGAAGTACAGATTGATAACCGTTGGGTTGTACCGTACTCACCCGTCTTATCACAATGTTTCAAGGCACACATTAACGTTGAATTTTGTCATTCAGTGCAAGCAATTAAATATATTTGCAAATATATCAACAAAGGATCGAACCGTGCCACTTTTTCAGTTGGAAACATTGACGAAATTGCAAACTATGCTGATGGACGCTATATTTGTTCCTCTGAGGGATTTTGGCGTTTTTTTGACTTTGAGATTCACGCACGGTATCCTCCAGTCTTGCATTTAGATGTTCACCTTGAAAATTATCAAAGAGTTTACGTAAGTCAGCAAAACATTCAACAGATTCTCGAAAATCCGAGAAAAACAACGTTGATGGCGTTTTTTGAACTTTGCGTAATAGATGATTTTGCTAAAACTCTTTTGTATTCCGAAGTTGCCGCCTATTACCGATGGGACAGTAATAAGTTTGTGAAAAGAAAACGGGGTAAAGATGTTCCAGGCTGGCCAGGATTAAAAAAAGATTCAGCTATAGGTAGAGTTTATGCGATTCATCCCACCCAGTCGGAATTCTTCCATCTTCGAATGTTACTTCAATATGTTCGAGGCCCAACTTCATTTGAGTACTTAAAAACCGTTGATGGTGTTACTTACACAACTTTCAAAGCTGCCTGTTACGCACTTGGTTTATTGGAAAATGATGATCAATGGAAAAACACACTCGCAGATGCTGCTTTGTCTGATAATCCATCTAAATTACGTGACTTATTTGCTATTATTTTAGTTTTTTGTGAGCCATCGCAACCTCAAATTTTGTGGGATATGTTTAAACAACAATTATGCGAAGATATTCTTCACTCTCGACGAATTCAACTCAACGATTTTAAAGTTGAATTTTCTGAAGAAGTGTTCAACAGAGGTTTAATTGAAGTAGAAGACAAGATCATCTCTCTTTCAGAAAAAAATTTGACTGCATTTGGGCTAAACTCACCGGTTCGAGATGAACTCTGTACTAATGATCCTTTGGAACATTCCATCAGACATGGTTATGATCATAACTATTTATATAACTACGTTGAGCAAAATCTTCCTAAGTTGGTTCCAGACCAACGACAAGCTTTTGATCGTATAATTGATAGTGTCTTAAATAGTAGTGGAAAAGTCTTTTTTCTGGATGCTCCTGGAGGCACTGGAAAAACATTCCTAATTAATCTTATTTTGGCCTAAGCAAGATCGGCTGGAAAACTGTCCCTTGCTGTTGAATCTTCTGGCATTGCTGCCACTCTCTTGAGTGGAGGTAGAACAGCTCACTCCACTTTTAAACTTCCATTATGTGTTTTTTCCGCAGAAGATTACACGTGCCCGATACGCAAAAATGGCCCACTTGCAAAAGTTCTTCAAGATACAACATTTATTGTATGGGATGAGTGCACAATGAGTCACAGAGCTCACATTGAAGCAATTAATAGAACATTGCAAGATTTAAGATCAAACCAGAATTTAATGGGTGGCATTACATTTGTTTTTGCTGGTGATTTTAGGCAGATGTTACCAGTAATTCTGAGAGGAACTAGAGCTGATATTATTCATGACTGTTTAAAATCATCATTTCTCTGGCATTATGTAGAGTCTCTTCATTTACGTACTAATATGAGAGCACATCTCTGCGAAAGAAACACGGAATTTCCAACACAGCTATTAAAAATTGGCGATGGCACGATGGAAAATGAAAACGGTTTTATCACCCTAGATCAATCCATTGGAAAACTGGTTACAACTGTCGATGATCTTATTTCCGAAGTTTATCCAGACATTGAAAATTTATCAAACAAATCATACCAATGGTTATGTGAGAGAGCGATAATTTCACCAAGAAATTCTACAGCAGAGGAAATTAACAACATTATTCTTCAAAAGTTGGTAGCTGATTCTCGAGAGTACCTCTCTATTGATTCAGTCATCGCATCTGAAGATGTTGTCAATTATCCTCAGGAGTTTTTAAACTCCCTAACTCCATCAGGATTTCCACCCCATAAGTTGAGTTTGAAAGTTGGAGCTTCGATTATGCTACTACGTAATCTTCAACCCCCGAACCTGTGTAATGGAACCAGACTGCAAATTAAAACTCTGCGAAATAATGTTATAGAAGCTACTATTTTGACAGGTCCAGCATCAGGACAAATAGCTTTTATTCCAAGAATTCTGATGATACCAACTGATTTACCTTTTCAGTTCAAGCGATTACAGTTTCCTGTCAAAGTTTCTTTTGCGATGACAATTAGCAAGTCGCAAGGACAAACTTATAATTTTGTGGGGGTAGATTTACGTTCAAACTGCTTTTCACATGGACAATTGTATGTCGGGCTTTCAAGAACTGGTGATCCACATTATCAGATTGTTTTAATTCCTTCTGGAAATAAAACTAAAAATGTCACGTATACTGAAATTTTGTGAATGAAAAAATAATTTTAAATTATATATTTGTATCTTTACAGCTTTAACAAATAACCCTTTGTTATATAATAACGTTAACATGTAAAAATCAACGGCCCTTTTCAGAGCCAATACCTATTTTATGACGTAAAGAATGCACGATACTTTTTACCATCATTTTTTTCCTTTTTTCGATATTTTCAATAAGAAGTTGTTTGTTCCAAAAATTGTTAAAAATAGATGTGAAGTTTTTTAACTGAAAACGTCCTATATTATTTGTCAACACACATGTGTTTCATTCAGCGAGTCTCGGGCAAAGCCGAGACGGGGGGCTGCTAGTATTTGATATAATCATAGTAAAAGTATGAGTTTTTTTCTGCCTTCAACTTTTTTTTGTCATAAATAGGATGTTCTTAATTTCTTAGGAGTTTTTAAGTGCACAAATTATGTTCAAATCCTTAAGAGTTATTTTGTTATTATAAAATTATGGAATGGCCTCGCTAACAAGTAGTATCAAAGTAACAATATTTATTTTGATGTATCCGAAAAAAATGTTGGTGACACATATATATTTTTTAACAAAACATTAATAAAAGAAATAAAAACAAAATGATAAATTGAATTAAAAAAAAAAAAATCTTCCATGATGTGGATTTGAACCCTTAAGTGCAAAAAATCCACGAAGCGGCATAACCCTTATCTATCTCAGCTATCCGAAGGACACATGAATCTTCTTTCAAAGTCACATATGTTCATGGATATCCTCCAGAGCTTGTCCTACAGTTCACAGCAGTTAGGATGTGTAAAATTAACAAATTAGTGGTTAAAGCTGTACTGAAAACCTTAACAAATAGTTGAAGCTAAATATTTTTTAAAAACATTAATAGATTTGGGAATGTTAAGAGTACAGGAGAATTAAAAAATAATGTATTGAAATCAAAAGTCTCTGCATATAATTGATGAGTATTTAGTTCCACGATTTAATTAAATAAGATTCATAGATAACATTGAAGCCAGAGCGACAGCAAGTCAGTTAAATATATATAGCATATACTCGGTTGCAGAGTCAAAAGACTCAAAAGAGAAAAACTCGTGTCGTCGCTTGCTTTGGCTGTGCGCTCAACTGTACAGCTATAAGGTAAAATACCCAGTAGTTAAACACTTTTGACAGTCGAAGTTTTCTTTGCCGCTTTATAAAATACTAACAAAAAATGATGTTCAAAAAAATATTGCATTAATTATTTAAAACTTTTTTTCATTTATTAGAAAAAAAAAAAAAAAAATATCAGGATAATAAACAAAGAAAAATCATCAAGACCCAGTATCTGGACACCAGTGTCCAGGTACTGGGACCAACATAAGAGTTGGGACCAATAGTTGGATACCTCATGTTAATTAAAAGAAAGGGAGGTTAGGGTGGACCTAATTTCAAAATGCTCTATCACATCTCTCAAATACTCAATGATTATATTCGTTTTTACTACATGGTATAGTTTCTGGTCATCATTCAACTTTATTTTAGTTTTCAACAGTAACATTAACATAGTATACTCAGTAATAATCAATAATTTTAAGGGTTTTTAACTGTCCAAGTACCAGGTATAGGAAAAATCTTATGTTATCGAATTGAAGCTATTCTTGGACAGATTTGTTTATATTTTTTGATGTATTTAACTCTCATAAACTCAATAAAAATTATAATAATATACATTTTGCAAGGTAACTTTAGTTAGAAAATAACTTGAACGTTCTATGCCAAACTATAAATTATAATTTTTAGCGTTTTTTTCCGTGTCCAAGTACTGACCACAGGAACACTCCTATATTATTAAAGGGATCTATTTTTGGACAGCAATCTGACATGCTTCCCATTTAAAACTTATTATTTTACGTAAAAACGAAAAAAAAATTTTAAAGATAAATTTTTTCATTAGGAATTATTATGCATTGATGGATTATAAATAAGTTTTTTTTTTCTGTTTGAAAACGTCTTCTATTCAAAAATGTTAATTACATTGGACTGATTTCTGTCCAACTTTAAGTACTGGGTACTTTACCTTATAGCCGACAATTTCACTCCTCTCCTCGTAGGCGCAAATTTGGTATGAGGATGAATCATGAGCAAGCTCAACCGCTAGAGGGTGGCAGGACAAGCTGCTACCTAGAAATATAGATATATTATTTCAACACGGTTTTTCAGTTTATCTATCATGGCGTCTCACCAATCCACTTTCATTGTTACTTGTATGTGTTGTATGTGAGAGGGCGGGAGATTTTAAATTTACAGGATGAATGAGCAAATTTCTAAAGAGAACTATTATGGTATTTTAAATATAAGTCAATTTAAGAAACTGCTAAAAGCAACAATGTAAATAATTTTCATGAATTTTTTTATGAAACAATGTAAATAAACCGCATTCAAATTATATATCTGTAGGAACTGTTGACAACTACTTGAGAGAGAAAAAGGTGTTTCGTTCCGAGAGAACGCCATGACTCATCAGTAAGGCTGATGACGTGCTCCCTGCCTTAGACATAGGAGAGGTGTAGGCTCAGATTGACTCAATCGCGCTTATATATCAATCGTGCGGGAATTTCGCCGCTTAATGGGAGAGAACTATTAGGGGCTGGGCCACCTGGCAAGTAGAGCCTGAAGCGCGAGAGATGTGAAATGTCACGTATCTACATATCTCTTGTCCTGCTGCCCTCTGGTGGTTAATCTTGCTCATGATTCATCCTCATACCCATTTCACGCGTCAAAGATATGCTCCTATGTAGACATTTCCACGTAAATCTACCCCTCTCCTCGTTGGTGCATACCTCTACCGTGCTTCTCAAATAAAAAAAAAAAACGTGCGCCTGGTTCGGCCACTTGACTGCGGTGGGGCGCTCGAACCATTGGAAAAAAGTGGGCACACTCTGTAGCATGGCAGTCAGGAATCTCCCTAAATGACTAAGCTGTCTCAAGTGCAGATTAAGATTGTATTCTCATTATAAAGTCACTGAAACGGCCAAAGTACTAGTAGCTATAAGTCCATCTGCTCAAATCATACATACCAGTTCCATTTTTGGAGGACGAGCATCTGACAAGGTGATATTCAACCAAAGTGGAATCATACATAAAATGATACCTGAAGTCGATACCTTGATGGTTGATAAAGAATTTGACATCGTTGAGGAATGTTGTAAAAACCATAAAAAGCTACTAATGCCTCCAAAATTGGGACGAAAGAAACAGTTTTCTCACGAAGACTTTGTAAGTACTGAAGACATTGCTGCAGCCAAGGTTCACGTTTAACGAGTGATTTAGCGAATTAAAATCTTCAAGATTTTTGAAAGCAGGATTCAATGTAATCTTATTCCTTACTTAGATGATATTTTTACCATAATGAGTGGTGTAGTTAATTTAAGCTCACCTGTTCTAGTAGATGATAAGTTTTTGTAAATAGAGTGTAACAATAAAAGTAATAAAACAGTACAATAAAATTAATAAATTATGAAATACGAATTCACAAAATTAAAAAAAAAATTTTATTAATTCCTACAAGGTTATTTTTTGTATAATTTGTTAATAATACTTTTCATACTAATATGATAAATAGGAACTATAGTTAAATACGTTTTCACCAAACGTGCAAGGAAAAAAATTATTCATTATTCTTCCGTTTTTTTTCTTCCAAGATGGGAAGAAATTTGTTTATATATACATAACGCAATTTATCCAGATAAGAATTAAAAGTTTTATGGTCAAATTTTACGGTAATTATAGAACAATTATTTTTCTTACTTGTAAAATAAACCATCAAGTCACAGAGTTTCAGACCGTTCACAAACATCCCTAGCTAGATCTGAGCATAATACGTGTATTTTCTTTTTAAACAAAAAGTGCTACCCTTTTTCTTCATGTAAGGCAATTTTTCCAGAGCAGCATATCCCGACACTTTTTTTCCGATAACAGGACTTCTTACTTCGATCAATCTCTTATTTGGAATTATGCCATCTGGGCTAAACCCAATGAAAGGAATGACAGGGTTAGTCAAAAAGCCTACCCTGTAAACCTTTTTCTGTTTTAATTTTTCGTATAAACAAAGAGCTTCCTCTTCACACTTCAATCCATAACGAGTGCTGGCATTGTCTTAAAAGTCTTGTTCTATGTGATCACGAATTTGTTTATCCTAATCTACTTCCCTTTTACTTGAAGCTGCCGTTATAAACTTATATGCAGTACTTCTCGTTATTCTTTTCCGTCTCTGTGTCTTCCGAATTTCGTTAGCTTGTGTCAACGTATCAAAACATAACTGCACAGCTTTATTAAAAGTTATTTCTATTTCTTTTTCGTAATACGACTTAAGATTGGGGGGCAAATCATAATACATAAATTCGATTTCCACATTTTTGCAATACAGCAAGAAAAGCGTAGATGTTGATTCCGTTTTAACACAAATTTTTGATTCCAAAATACTGCTGATTAAATTTTTCAAAAATTCATTACTCTTTTTAATATCAAACAAGCTTTTTAGAGCTGAAGCACTTTTTTTGTGGAGCCTTTTTTTTGCAAGGGCTATAATGCAGTTTGGCAAACCTGTATCAAATTAAAGTCGTGCGTATTAAAAAAAAATCGGAAAATATTTTATTTATAATTTCATTTAGGTACATGCTGCTTGTCAATATTTCTAAAACATTTTGACTAGTGTTTTCTTTTTTTTTAATTCTCTGATTTTCTTTAACAACTGGATGGCAAAGTTTTTTCAAGGGGACGGATTTACACATATTTTCAGCTGAACCTTTTAGCTTTTCCCACGCTTGCTTTAAATCTGTGCAGGTCAAGTTCTCTAAAGAATCTACGGTTCGTCTAAAATTTGAGTTAATAAAAAAGATTATAATGAATTCTGTTGTATGTGTAAAATAAAGACGATAATATGTTTAACATCAAAAGTAAATCAACACCGTGCTTGCGTAATCCCTTAATACCAGCTACGCATCAGCAAGTTACAAACATATTTCTATTGAGTTTGCTTGAAAAAAAATTTAACTTATGTGAATCATTTTTTAACCGACTCGATTTCAAACAAAGAGCAAAAACTTTTAGCTGACTTTCATCATTCTGCGTCACACCGCAAAGTATGATGTAATTAGACTTTATATCTCTCCTTCAATGTATGCACGTTCATTTTTTCCCACATAACTCATAACTGTAACCAAACAAATAATGCTATGCAACTTTTTTTGACAATCCATCTTTTCTTAATACGAAACAGCCCATACAACTGACCGACCGTACACAAAATCCTCACAATTTACGGAAACGCTTTCCCAAAGCCCTGTTTTTTGAATAATCACTAGGTTTGGAAGCATTCTTTATTTTTTTCACATTTCAACGGACAAAATGATCTAATTAATTAATAATAAGCCAAATCACTATTTAACTCATTGAATCAGCTAATGTCTCTCACTTTACTAGGGTTCGTATTTATATTGACAGAGGACGCACAATCGATCCGAAAAATCACCAGCGCAAGCGAACGGAATAGTCGAGTGGTCACCCATCTGACTGCTAACCGTGGCCGACTCTGCTTGACTTTCCAGATCGACGAGACTGCAACTCTACGGCTACGCCACCGTGTCGGTAGTAGGTAATTAGTATACCTACTACTACTTTGCATAGTGGAAATCGTAACATGGCTGTTACGGGCTAAACTGGTCTTCTGGTACAGCTAAGGTACTGTCAGGTAAATAATGTCTGAAACAAAACATCGCTTGATCTCTTTAAAGTCTTCGAAAAACATATTAAAAATCGCTCCTTTTTCCTATTTATCTTTTCGTATGTATATAGCTATGTAAAAAAACGTACGTTAAATATTAAATATGTGTAATACAACTTAACTTTTGAAAACAAGAAAAAACGCTGTACCTCGAAAGGGAAGCAAAATTGGCTAAAAATAACAATTTCTACGGGATTCCGAAAGAAAATCTACATGACCAAGGTGCACCAATACAGAGGGGTTGAACTGTGCACAAGCATAATCTTAATTTTTTTTTGACAGTGTCTCAAAAAAAACAAGTAAAAAAAATTTTTTTATTTAGTATGGCATGTTTGGAAAATTAATACGGACGTTGACAAAATCATCGAAAAATTTTTGTTACAACATACCCTCCCAAAATTAGAAAAACTCGAAAAGGAAGCCAGATAGGTAAAAAATAATTCTACGTATACAAAACAATTATTGAGGTGATAAATATGATACATGGATTCATACAAATAATCGTAATAATTCTGAAAATAATGAGTCATATCTCAAAGGCAAAGCTACAACCTTCATATCCTACCTATAAATTGATTTATTATCTGTTCTTTATAATGTATTACAAGAAAAATTGTCAAGTGACCAAAACCTATATTCTTTTTATTAATTTTGAGATCAGTAGAAATTAGTTGAGCAAGGGTGAATATTGATATTAAATTATAAGTTTTTATAGAAAACGAATGTATTAAAAAATTAAAATTTTACAATGGAAAGTAGCTATACGTATATTTTTTTTCTTATTCTCAATAAAATGCAGTGGATTATTTTACTGTTATGGTAACCAAAATTTAAAAAGTATTTATTTGTTGGATAAAAAAATACCAACAACAATTTATTGTACACATATGATGTCATATTAAATGCACGAATATTAATTTTAAATAAAAGGAATTTTTGTCTTGCGTAATGGGACAAAAATACCTTCTTTCATCACAGTATAATAAAAATTTTTGTTTCATTTTGCATTGCATGACCAACAACTCGCACATGTATTACATATATCATAGCAAACAGGAAAGTACTTAGAATGTGCGAATCATAACATAAGTAGTATATCAAGGTATATTTATATTCTATGCACACGCGTGCTCGAACACGTAATAATAATAAAATTTTCACTACTTTAGTATGGAATTCTTGAAGATGTATTAAATTAAAATATACTCTAATTTTCTCAGTTTTTATTACACAAAGTTTTAATAACATTTGAGTTGAAATTTTCACTTCTGCTGAGGCCCCGAGACCTACACTTGGTGTATTTTAATTACATATTTTTTGTGGTTTTAAATCCTTACAGCTTTACAAAAAAGCTCTTTTCGTAGATTATACGGAAGAACCCTTTAGGGCCAACGATTATTTCATGTTGTTAGGAATGCACTGTATTTTTCAGCATAATTATATTTTTTCACTTTTTCAAGCTTATTCTTTAACCAAATAAACTGTATGGATTCCGAACAAATATGATTTTAATAAGAAGATTTTTGTTCTGGGAAGTGTCAGGAATAGATGTAAAATTTTCAACTGAAAATGTTTCACATTACACGTCCACTCACCGTTCTCATCAACGATCGAAGTGTTCAAACGTTTTTCTCGAGTTAATAATAAGAATAAAAAACAAACAAAGAAAAACGCATGTACAAAATAAACACTACTTGCCAAGAACATAAAAGATTGATTGTCACGTGACTAAAGCCTTCTTATTGGTTTTGTGATGGACTTTGACTATGAACGTGTAAATTTAAAAATGAGAATCTGTGAAAAGGATAAAAAGTAGTTTAATCTGTAGATATGATAAATATGGCCATTATAATCATTTTTATACATATCTATACATATAACGATTGCCTCAATAATATCCTTTGGTTTGTTAACTTACTTGCAGAACGTGTTAAACTACAAATAAAAAATTTTCGTCTTTATGCTGGTGATGGCATATACTTTGTGTACATGCCTATACGACGTATATAACTGAAAGACGATCATTTTTATTCTTGTAATGACATTTGGCTTGTTAACACACGCACATAACGTGCATAACTGTTTATGAACGACGCTTGTTTTCGTGCTTGGATATGTATAACTAGTTGCCAAGCCTGCACGCTCCCCACGCAAACCCGAAAGAACATACTTGAATTTAATATATGAAAGCTTATATCCTTTAAGAATCTTAGTGTTCTTAAAATGTGATTTAAATATTAACACTGTTACAGTGGAAAAATTGATATATTGATTTTAAGGTCGCTATATACATTAAAAAAAAAAGTTCTAATCAGGCCCTGCAACAATACAAATTTTTCTCAGAAGGAAATAAGTTACAAAACACTCCCAATAATAATTAATATATACTGTAAAATATCCATGTAAAAGTATAAAAACTCATAACTGCCAGCGTTATGCTAGTAAATGTTATCAATGCTTGAGTTTGCTACTACCAGTTATTATAGTACATCTAACCTGTATACGATCTTTTTACTGGAATTATATATTTTGCATT